TGGCATTCCCACCAAAGCGTCAACATTATGCAAGTCGAATAGGCGATAACGCAAGGTGATGTGGTTCTAGGCAGTAAAAACCATTCTTAAGCTGCTCTTATAGCCAAGGGGTTTGCCTTGGACGTCTTACTGTGCTTCTATATTAGCACTGTCAGAGGATGAGCATTTGCACATTAAGAACAATGTGCTAATAAAAAAAATGAGAGAAGATTTATCCCTTTTCAAATTAAAAAAAAAAATTCACTGCGTGGGAAGGAGTTCTCCCTTGTGAATATGGGTTAGTCTGTCTGGACTAATCCTCTACTTATATGTAGTGGCTTATTAGGGATTTTAAAAAAAATCTGAAGGCTTAGACAGTATGGTTACAGTAGAACATGCTTACATGAAAGATGTATTTTCAGTGATTTTAATGACACGTTTGACTTGAATTAATGTTGAAATCTAGAAATATGTTTTTTTTTCCTGTTGTTTCTGTGAAACCCTTTAATAAAGATTTTACAGAAACAGTAATATGTAACTTTAAAAGGGCACTAAAGCCAATTGAAAGCGAGCCAGTGCAGACTGAATTCCTGCTTCCTGCAGAACAGCAATAAATCCTCCCACCACCACTCGGTTCCCTTCAAACCACAGAGCTACAGATCATCAGACCGCCACAATGACCATAGCTCACCCAAAACAAGTGTCTTAAGGCTCTATGCCCATGGTTTCCCCAGATTTACCGTGGCTTGTTCATCGACTTCTTTGCTCCACCCACTCCAGCCATTTTTAGTTGTTGTACGATTTATTTTGTTTTCTTTGAACCTACTGGGGTTAGTTCATAGTGTGAAATTTAAGTGCGGCCCTTATGCGCCGGTTTTGTAGTAACCCCCTTAGGAACTGCACAAACGTCTAAGAAGAGAGAAAAATCTCAGTGCAGAGAGCAGAAGAGCAGAGGAAATCAATGCAGAGCAGAGACAAATGGAGCGAAGCACAGGGGGAACATGAGCTGCCCGAGGATGCCCCATAACCCAAGGGCAGGATTGGGAACAGAACGTATTTCCTAAATCCTTGTGTACACATCCAACGCTCTCCAACTCATATTGCTTCTGAATAAATGTTAACACAATTTTTACCAACATGATTTGCAAATGGCACCTCCTTCAAAAGAATATTTCTATGCTACGTATCCAGGCGTTAAAATACTGCCTGATCCTCTGGGCAAAACACATGTCTACATAGGCACAGTTCAGGTTAAGCAAGGCACAAAACCACGATCAATTGCACAGCGATGGAAGAGCCAGACACAGTACGTGCAAAGAGCTCCATGAGTGCTGTTTGACTGCAGCCATAGATCTCGACAGCATAACATCCCAGCACCTTCCCCATCCTGCCAGCTGTGGACCAGAGCTTGCAAGATGCTACGCGTATCTCCAAGGGATATCTCAGTCTCCACGGAACTCCCCCACACAGCTCAGTTTGGGATACCTATTGGCAAAGCTTGGTTTCAGGATGCTTTTTGTACCATGTGAATTCCAGCAAGGTATACTCATTTTACACGGCGCAATTTAGGGAAAATAGCTGCACTGCTATGAGAATATTCGTGTCTGTTTTCTCGCAATGATGCATAGGATATGGCACTGTTTTCTCGCAATGATGCATAGGATATGGCACTTGAGGGAATGCAGCTTCAGAGATCATTTCCTGCAAGCTTGGCCTGATAAAAGCCCATTTGCATGTATTAATCCTGCCACAGTCATTAAGTAAAGCGTGGTAGCAGAGCCCTCCGCAAAGCAGTAATTTCACTCGCAGTGACTTGATCGCTTGCAATTCTCTGTACGTACCCAAGGGCTCTCTCACTACTTTGACACACCAGTATTGTTCTTGTATAGACAAAGCGAAGAAAGCCATTTTATTCCCATTGCGAAAGCAAATTCCTGATGCACTTTAGTCTTGCATTTTCTGGAAGGGGATTTTACTCACTGTTTAGAAATACTATCAGGAGGAAAGCCTCATTTGCTGCTTCTACCTCCACGTTTCAGGGCAGAGTCCACCACCTCTGTCACAACCGAAAAACCTCCTTACAAGTGAGCACTGTGCTCCCAAGAGCTGCTCCCCTGCCAGCAGCCTCCCCAGGCACCGCCTGCGGCACAACAGCCCGACATCCCAAAGCTTAAGCAAGAAAACTTGACCACACCAAAGTCAACAACTTTGCCATTGAGCCAAAAGTCTGCGGTTGGTGTACACAAAAGGTTTGCTGTTAGAGAAAACTATGTATCTGGAGAATATCAGCTATCTAAAAGTATTTATTAACATAGCCTTGCAAGTCTCTATCTCTGTGTGTATTACTTACATAAACACGGTGGCAAAGATAGAGCAGACGTGTCATGGTATCATTATGTTATTTGTATGACCTTTGTCAAAGAACTGCAGAGCTTTTCTGCTGGCATTGTGGCATTTTATATGACATCTCACCATCAACAAAGTAAACGGCTGTGCCACACTCTTTGTGATATTTTTGAGCTCTTTTTAGCCCCCCAAGGTCTTCTTAGCAAAGATTATTATTTCTGTTCCCTAACACCAAGGATCCCTTATCACCGAGAAGGCTCCTAGCATTTTATATGATATATGAACACACAAAAAGCTTTAAAGAGCTTACAAGCTGAAGATAAAGCGCAGATAAGAAAGTCCAAGGAAAGATAACACCAGTCTGCATGGGTGACAGCAGCCATAACATACCAGCAGCTTAGTGACTGCCAAGTTTTACCAAATCAGCTACAACTTGCAGTTAACTAATTGCAATTTTTCAGTGCTAAATAACCCAAACAAGAGAGCCAACATTATTCTTTCCATATGTTATGTGGCAGAGGATCATGCCACCCACTTCTGATTTATTACCAGTTTCATCACATCAAGGGTTTTACTGAAGCCGCCAGCTCTCAGGAGCCTTCCTTCCAGTCCTGGCTTCCTTCCAAAACCAGCCCTATCTGTAACTCACAGGGGTGCAAAGGACAGCTTGAAAACAAAACCTGGGTTCACCCTCAAGGATTTAGAAACCAAAAGAAAAACCACGAGACGTTCTGGCTGCTTTTCTTAAAATACAGATAAATAAAAAGATACTAGAGATTTCTTTGCCAATGCCGGGATGCTCTGCTGGCTGGTGCAGGGGCTGTAGCACAGGCGGCCCCTTACTGCCCAGCTGGAGTACAAACCATGCAATCCAGCCGACAGCTTTGTTCAACTGGGGTTCGAATTCACTGCAGTTTATTTCTGGAAGTATTTAAAAAGCCTGTCCTGAAGGCATTAGGACCACTGCATCCAGTGAGTCATCCATGACACCTGACGTAGACAGGTAATAAATCCAACTGTGTTTACTAAAGCTTTCTATAGGACTGTGGTTACTTCGCATTAAGATGATGTAAAATAGCATATGGGACAGACACCTGCAACAGTGTGGGTCCAGTGCTATTTTCCCCTTAATAACCAGTTAAAATTCACCAGTTAAAGGGTACCATACACAGTAACTCAAACACTATCTAGAGGGACATAGTAACCTGGCATTAAGCATCCAATCACATTTCATTTTTTTGCTTGATCATGGACACGTTTGTGTAGAACAAACCAACTTAAGCCACGAATACCCTGTTAAATTAGTTTTAAAACCTGTTTTGGCCATGAGTGACGAAGTGTCTCTGCCAGCACGGAATGCAGCAGGGACCACCCTGAGCAGCGTCTCCCCAGCTTCTTGGGTGGGTTTTGCAGCCCAGGCTGATGGGGACAGAGCAGGAGCTGAGCTGGCTGTGCTCGGGAACAGCTACACAGCACTGCAGCCACGTCTGTGGCTACAACATCAACACCTCTCTTGTCTCTGTCCCTTTGTGCTTCACCTGGAGGACAAGGACATCTCTTCCTTTCAAGAGATGTGAACTTAAGTCTATCAAGCAGGGGGAAAACCAGCAAGACGCAGAAGAAACTTGTTAGCCAAAAAAGGCCTTTAGCTTATAGCCCCCAAATTACGGGACGAATAACCGGAGCTGATGCAGAAAATGTTAGATTTACTGGATATACAATAACAGCCTTCATGTGGCCCAGCTAGAACATGATACAGCTGAAGGAAGGCTCGGGGCTAGAGGCAGGGTCAGACACGTGGAGACGCACACTAAAAGCCAGGACGAAGGTCGCACTTGCTGCAGAGGGTCAGAAATTCCTGTTTCAGTGGGGCGGATGGCAGCAATGACTCACGCATATCGCGTTACTGGTAAATTTGCCCCGGTTCATGCTTTCCCTTGGGCAGGAGGCACTGTACCCAGCTTTTCCAGGAAGCATATTGTATCCTGTCAGTGAGTTTGTGTGGAGCAAGGGGTATTCTGCCCCGTAAAAGCAGAGCTTATGATCTACCTATGGAAAATAAGTGCCATGACAGGTTTGGCACTGCCCTCTGGGGACCTTACAGACAACATGCACAGTATTAAATTCTGATGGGAGCAGCAGCTGGCTTCTATCAGAAAGGCACTATCTCTATCCTTTTAAAAATCCTTAGCGTTTCTTTTCTCACTGGAGACATAAAGAGCCTACCAAGGTCATTTGCACTCTGCCGGCTGAGGAAGATGTGCCAAGGCTGCAGGGCAGCACAGCTCGGTCCATCAGCAGTGGGATGCTTTGAACAACACCGTATTCCTGCAAAACGAACGGTACCGAGCACAACTTGAGATTAAACCAAGGCCCTTCTTCAGTGCCGGAGTGGATAACAGCGTCACTGCTTCCGACTGCCAGTGGGCTGCAAGGCAGCAGCAGCGTAAATGGAAATTAGTCTCTTTATGGACGGCAGGCAGGACTGCAAGCCTATATCAGTGCAGCACACAGCTGAACATAAAATGACCCCCTTGGCAATGGCACTGTATCAAATAAATCGGCGTTTCAACTTACCTTGCGAATGCGTTATCCTTTTGCAAACGGGGAGTAAACATAGCAGACGAGGCAAGCTGATCGGCAGAAACCGGAGCTCCGAGGCAGGGTCCCCTTACACAACAGTAGTCCTTTTCCCCGGCAGGTCGGAGGAGTTTTCGTAGGCAGAGACGAGTCCCTTTGCCCAGCGGGTGCCGGGGGAGCCCTGCTGCATCACCACCAGCCGGATCGGATGCTGGGTGTCTGCAGGGACCTCGGGAGCATATTCCTTGCTGGGATCCTTCCCCCTGCAGTCATAGAGCACGCAGGAGATGAGGAAAACCAGAAGCAAAATAACATAACTAGCTACTAGAATAATGAGATTCAAGGTAACAGGGTCAATCTCCAAATAAAACTCCATTTGGTCCCATACTATTGAGTGCAACCTCAGAGAATGAAGTTTCATATGCACGAGTGAGCGACCGCTAACTGATCAGAATAGATGTATTGGCTTTGCGGTAAAAATACATTAATCCTCAGGTCTCCTGTAGCAATGGATTTCCCCGAACTGGATGATTAAAGCAGCTCAGTTTAATAACTTAAGCTCCTTCTTTTAATGCCACGTTGCCTACAGTGGCAGAAGCTAAATTTGAATGCTATATTGACAGGAACATCCCCCTTGCTCAGGGACTATTTCTTTCCTTGACAGGCAGGTACCAAACTGGGTTTCCTCTAAGGGCATTTTGCAGAACCTCCCTTCTACAAGTGGGTTCGGGCTCATGGGCTGCAGAAAACTGAGCTGTGCAATTAGTTAACAAATACAGAAATAGGTTAAGGAAAAAGTCATATGCAAGGGAACTTTTCTCAAAACCTAAAGAGCCTGATTCTGATTTCAACTAAGACCTTTTTGCCCTGTCCCAACGCTATAGAAGGGTTTTTTAAGTGAATTAAAGACTTCTATTACTCACTTCCCTATCAGAATTACTGGTACACATCATGCCACCGTATCACACACTGCCCAGCCAGACCTTGCACCAGCTGAGCTGTGGGAGCCTGCTTAGTCCCCTTTGAGTCTCCTGGGCATGAGAAAGTGCAACACAACGGGAACGTTTCTGTAGCCTGGGCACCACCAATTTATTTTTCCTATGTGGACCCTCTGCTTTCAAAAAAAAAAAACCGTTAAGTTTGCAATGTGGCTGTTGCCTGCCTGGGAGCAGTGCCAGGCTGCCCAGCCATAAAACCTACAAGTACTATTTGTGTCTTCCAGATTTACATCTCTGAAGCTGATGAGCGAGTAGGGACACACATATAGCTATTACACATTGCTTGCTTGTTTCCCTAGAAAACTGTGCTAGAGAGACCACCCCTCCTCAAAAAAAAAAAAAAGATAAAAAAAACGTAGCAGTGTATAAGATAGCAGGAAGACAGACAGGAAGGGCAGGAGGCGATGCTGCCGAGCACCACAGACCCTATGTCAGCATGCTCACCACTTCCATGCAAAACTTTAAGGTTTTGGTCAGCATTACAGCACAGGAGGTTTTTAGGAAGAGATTAGACTGTCCCAGCTCTTAGCGCTGCCAGAGCTGTGGAAAAGGGCTTTATATGTCAGTGGGAATCTGATCCGGCACGTCTAAGCTGTAAGAAATATGTCATGGGGCCATCCTGCTGCCGCAGACCTCGACACATGCCGCTCGTTTTAAGGCCAACATCATCCGCATCCTCCACTGTCTGCCCTCCCAGCTCTCTTTCGCTGAGAAGTTTGTGTCGAGAGGTAATCCCGTGTCTGGCATCGCAGGAGGCATGCTTAGCAGGGAGGAGGGAACGCCTCAGCACCGAGGGTGCACATTTGCGTGACTCTCATGTTGTGTGTCTGCTGCACATCACATGCCACTTCTGAAGCAGACCAGGCATTTGGCTGTCCAATGCAGTTTAGATGAGGCGGAGATTTTTCAAGACAGGCCAAGGCTTTTGATTATGCACTCCCCCTCCAAAGCAACGACGGTCGGAGCTGGGACTTGGTTTCAGTGTTTGCTGGGAAACTGGAAGTCTTTTGAAAATCCCTCCAAAACACCTCAGAAGCACAAGCACCTTTGAAAGGCAATAGGGTTTCTGGTCTTAAATTTCAATCACATTCTGCTGCAAAAAATTAGTACCAAAGTAGTAAATACTATAGAGTTCACATGTTGAGAGACGTATGGGATCTTACATTAGTTTAAGTCTTTTAAACCAATCCTCAAATGGCAGCCTGCATTCTGAAAACTCAGCACTGTGCTTGCAAAAGAAAGTTTATGGGATTCTTCTCCCTTGTATTTATGTAGTACCAGCAAGTTTGCCAAAACTGAATTGTCTCCTCTAGAGTCCTCCACACTAATAGCTTGGTTTCACATTTCTGTTAAATATTGCAGCTGGGAGATACATGACATTAAGTGTTTAATTTAGATAGGCATCATGCCAGCTTTTAGGGGGACTTTTGAAAAGTTAAAATCAGGGACTAGATTATTGCACCACCTTCTGTGTTGCTGCAGACATGCTCTCTCAGAGAGAGAAAAGCCTCCACATTTCTGTATCTCCACAGCTTCTCAAAACACTGCCTTAGAGTAAGAATATATTGTACTTTCAAAACTCCACTTGAAGGCTGTACCTAGGGCATGGTTTGCAGCAAGGAGATCTCGTATTTACGCTTTTGTTGTATTCCCAAGAGTCCCATCCTCGAGCTGGAGCTGCTCACAGCAGCCTGTGTCTGGAGTCACTGTGCTGACAACTGAAGTCTACAAGGAGATTTGGCTTCGATACCGTTACTCTGTCTTCCCAGCCCACCTCCAGGGCAGACCATAGATGTTCACCGTTTGATATTCCTGTGTCCAAGTATTGCCAGGGTCTTATACCACCTGCCAGCACCCCTGTCCCACAAGCAGGAGAGTCACTCTGCCTTGGGAACCTCGTCTGCAAACACACTGGGGCTTTTTGTCGTGGAGCCTCTCTCCAGCGAGCTGGCAATACTCCTGGGGTCAGCGTCCCGGAGTCCGTGTCCCACAGTCCTCCCGCTGCTCGACACCGCTCACTCCTGCCTGTCCTGTGGCTACAGCTCCATAGCTGACTGTCCCTCACCAGCCTTTGACATCTTGCCCTCCTCATGCTGTTGATGTCTGCACCCTTTTCTTAAGAAAAGTCATTCAAATCCTTGTTCACATTCGCGCTGTTGGAGTACTGACAGTTTCCCCAGCTCTGCAATGAGCAGGAACGCATTTTCCCAAGGAAGTGAGAGTCTCGGGAGCTTTGCAAAAAAACTGAGCAAGTTGTGCATGTGTTTCCCCAGGCAGTGCGGGGAGCCCGGCTGATGGTCAGGGTGAAGCGCTGCCTTGTGCTTATGCAGGCTGGCTCGAGCAGCAACAGGTGAGACAGCATCTGTGGGACCCACATTCCTCAGGTGTCCAAAACTTATCTCTGCTGTAATTGCTTCAAAGGCCAGATCAGCTTTGCCATCAGCAGTAGGAGAGGGCAGAGATGGCGGGTTACACAAAACCTTTGATATATCCTCTAAAAGTGGATTAGCTAGAGTCTGCTATTTATTTATTCCGCTATTCCATTATTTAATGTTTGACAGAGAAGCCTACCCCAAGGGTCAGAGCTTCTGACTGGAGACCCAAGGCCACCAATGCAACTCCACACTCAGTTCTTCCCTCAGTTTTTTTCTTCTTTTGTTCATCTTGATTTATAGACACTTCTGGACAGAAAGCACCTCTTCTTCTGCAAGCACCCAGTTCAACTGGGATGAGCAATGAGGGAATAAAATGTACATAACAAAGTTACATATTTTTTATAATTTTTGCTTGAAGGCATTGCACAGTGAATTCTACAGTACAAAAGTTCAGAGGTTATTAAAACAGAAAAGAACTACTCTATGATCAGAGAAAAAACATTTTAAAAATAAAATCTTGGGAAGACGTTCTAGCAGGAGAGAGCTACAAGCGCTCTGTTTTGAGAGCAACTACAGCACAAGTAGCAAAGGGATTACAGGCAATGGCTGAAGAACTCAGTCTGTGAGAAACTACAGCATCTTCTCATCTAGTGCAGGAGTTAAATAACAGGTCCCTGCTGTGCCAGCTCTTGTTGACTATAGCAGGTTAGGGCTGATCACACGAGCATTTTGGCTGGCAGAACCAAGACACAGCAGCTCAGAAGGGTGACCCATCGCACAGTGCATCGAGGTGGATGTACACAGCAGAATATCTGAAAGGGACCAGGCTTTGCTGGACTCAGCCATATGAAAGCAAAAAGCAGTTTCCAGTCCTGGTGCTTCCCAGATGAAGCCTGTGTAGCCGGAGTGCCAGCAGAGCCTTGTGTGCTGCATAAAACACTGCTCGACATGCCCCGCACAGCTCACCCGATTCCAGCCAGCTGCACCCCAGTGAGATAGCCGTCACTGCCAGGCTTGATTAGCTTAACGGCCGTGTCATTGCTAAAAATAGCTCCTAGGAAATAAATCTCTTGAATCCTGGTGCAGTGTGAAAGAGGGGAATACAGATGGCAGCAATCCCAGCATATTTCAAACAGAATAACAAATAGGCTGAGATAGGGTAGCAGGAAGGCCAGACCTACCTCCTGGATAGCACCCTGTCTCTGCAGCTCGGGACAGCGAAGGGGGACACTTACAGGCTGCAGGCAGCTGCCCAAGGCCATCGCCTTCCTCATACAAAAAGTCACAATTTAGGAGGCATACTGCAGAGATTTAAGGGCACTGGGAAGAAACCTGGTGTGATTAGGAAGCAAACTCCAGTTGCTCCAATACCTACAGGCCAAATCTTAAATGCTCAGAGCAAATCCAATGAAAGCAGGTTTGCTGTACGCATCAAGTGCAGATACCAGTGGCAGAAACACAGCCACCGGGCTCTTCCTTGGTGACATCTCTGGAGTTCTACAAGCACCTGCTTGAAGAGCGCTTGGTGTTTGTAAAGGGGATACACTTTTAGGGTCTTGCCTTCCTCCAGCACAAGCTCTGCTGGGGTGGCAGCAGGCTGAGACCCCCCTTACTCTGGGTATAGCAGTGGCCTGTTCTATGAGGAGCAGCTCACCCAGATCTCCCCTATTGCAGGAAGCAATTAATGTATGTGAGAACTTTGGTGAAAGGGGACTGGAATTGACTGGTACCACTAAAAGTAACGAGGGACAAGGGACAGGAGCCCAGCAGCACCATATGCCTGAATTCACAGCAACCCGAGCAAGATGAACGAGAAAACAGCATGACTTTATGCCTCTGGGGTTTTTTTTCCCCCTACGGGCGTTTTCCAGCTGAGGCTTTATTAGCTTATCAGCACAGCGTCCCACACGCGGGAGCCGGGCTGACCACGCGTGGGTGCTGTTGCCGTCCCGCCGGAGCGGCGAGGCGGTACCGGGCTGCGGCTGTCGCAGCGCCCACGAGGT